TATTAGAATGAAAAAAGGCTGCGTGGATTGTCCATTTCACAATTAAATATATGTATAAACCCGGTACTTATCCTGATTATCCTCCAAACTGTATTTCTAACTTCCTTTCGGAATCGCCTAGAAATCCAGATCTGCAAGGCAAGCAAACAGCCACTCCAGATTTTGTTATCCTGCAGCTTTCGATTTCAAGCGTTACGATGCAGAAAAAGAGCAAAACACTAGCAAACGCCATTTTATGTTGTTAAATCACCCGAACAAATGTTTACACTTTTTAGGTTTTCTTCATCAGTAGGCAAAACAATGACTCTGGATTATTATTCCTTAAACCATAAACTAGTTTTTACGCTATTTCACGACTATAAAATAGTAGAAAAACACTAGAAAATGACTAAAACTTCGAAACGTGGAGTTTCTAAATCTGACACGTATTTAGTAGTATATGGGAAAAAGGGTTTAAACTTGATTTATAATCAGATTGATCTCACCAAACTCTGCCTCCGCAATACCACCAAGTGCTCGCGGTGATCTAAACAGCTATAGTAAATATTTTTTCCGGCCACCATGCACTAATATCCGGAAGGTTCACTGTTAATTTTTCGCTGAATCATTCTTCCTCTTCAAAACAATATCGATAGCGTATTATTTCCATTATCCTCTTCATTCACCATTCTACTAATAAATCTAATACTTCTGTTTTCACCACTTTCTCCCTCTCCTCACTTGTTCTCTAGGAAATTGCTCCTTAGACCAAAGACATGTTTTTATTCTTCCTCTTTGTCTACCATAACCTTCCACCATTCAATTAGAAGCGCTCCGCCACCCGGCCAGCTGCGCGAGTCCTAATCGGAAACACTCAATCGTTGACTTCACGTAGAAGTAATACTAAAACATATAGTCAAAAAAAATCTGGTAATGATTTCATGAAAATTCTGCGAATAATTTCTAGTGAATTCTACAGATAGTTTCGAAAAGAATACCGAGAGAATCAAATTTTGAATAAAATTCCAAAGGGATGTTGAGGAAAATTTCAAGGGAATTCCGAGGATGATTTCAAGCTAATTCTGGGAAGAATTTTTGGAGAATAAAGAGGAAATTCTTCTGAAACTTTAGGGGAGTTTCAGTTCCAAAGTGTTATGAGAAAAAAAAAAGTTCTAAAATATTCCGAGAAGAACCTCAAATATATTGAATTCTTAGGACAGTTCTTAAATATTTCTGGGAGAATTCCGAGAAAATTCTACGGATAATTTCTAGTGGATCCTGCGGATAGTTCCAAGATAATTTCGAAAAGAATACCGAGAAAATCAAATTTTGAGTGAAATTCCAAAGGGATTTTAAGCAAAATTTCAAGTGAATTCCGAGGATAAGGTCTAGCTCATTCCGGGAGAAAATTCTGAAACTCTAAAGGACACTACAAGGTGTTCTGAGAAAAAATCAAGAAGAGATCTAAGCATAATTCCAGTGGACTTCTGAGAAGAATATCAAAAGAGCTCTTAGGAGAGTTCTAAAAAAATCTGCAAAGAACCTCAAGGATATTGAATTCTGAGGACAGTTCCAAAGGATTTCTGGGAAGTATTCCAAGAAAACTCTGCGAATAATTTCTAGTGAATCTTGCGGATAGTTCCAACATAATTTCGAAAAGAATAACGAGAAAATTAAATTTTGAGTGAAATTCTAAAGGAATTTTGAGGAAAATTTCAAGAGAGTACCGATAATTGCTAGTTCATTCCGGGAATAATTTCTGGACAATACTGAGGAAATTCTTCTGAAACTCTAAGGGAATTTTAGTTCCAAGATGTTCTGAGTAAAAGTCAAGAAGAGTTCTAAAAATAATTCCAGAGGGCTTCTGAGAAGAATTTCAAAAAAGCTCATAGAGTTCTAAAAATTTCGAAAAGAACCTCAAGGAATTCTGAGGATGTACTTTTTTGCAACTTCACAAAGTCTAAAGACAGCTTTTAAATTCCCTAATTGAAAAGTGGGTTTTAGTTTGACATTGAACTTTGGTCTATTAGTGTTACTAAAAATTCGTCTAAGAATCTTCTCTGAAAATTTAAAGTCATTTGTTACCGTGGTTAAAAATTCACAGCTGTTTATGTGCGTTGCAATAAATTCGGGTTTGTCCTTTATATCATCTTTAAAACATGTTGAATGTTCGGCATTATTTTCTGTCACCCCGACTGGCGGTACTTTGGGACATGGTTGACATACTCAATCCTTCGCACAAGTCGTCAATCCGTTAACAATCATGTACTCGCTTGTCAAAATAGTTTTGTGCGCGTTTGTTCCAGTCGTTACATATTTGTTAAGCCTCTTTAATGATCGTATTAGCCTTGGTATTTAGGTAAAAATTTGAAAAAAAAATAGAACTACAATTTTCGCTGAAAATGACCAAGTTCAACGTACTCGCAACGGTAATAGTTAAGTGTAACTACAACAGCATATAAGGGCTTAACTGTAACGATACCTTCAAAATATACAAAAAATTTCAGAAAGGTAACAGCATAAAAAAGATGATACCAGTACCTTGAAGAAATTATTTTCTTTGGTTTATATTTTTAACCTGTAAAGAAGAGCATGCTGCAAAACATTATTTCAACGATTCCTACAGGGTTCAGAAATTGGAAGAAAGCGACCAAGAAGCTGGGCAAACACAATCACAGTGATACCCATGTTGGTAGTATGGACTCGTGGACGTATGGACGAAGAACTGGACCACCAAAAAAAGAGGTATGATTGCTGCTATTAAGGCAAAGCGGCTACAAAATCGCTATATAATGGAACGTTTCATCGATATTATGCGCATACTTTGTATAGGTGGCCGATCACTTTGCGAACATTCGGAACGAGCGGAAAGTGTGCCACCCAGTTGGTGGCTAACTACGATTCTGTTCTGGAAAAACACTTGGCGGAAGGTGCCAAAAATTGCTAGTACACAAGTAACCGTATTCAAAATGACATGATTACATCGTTGCGCAATGTAATCCTTGCGAGGAAAACCAGTGGTAATCATTGCAGATGAGACGAGCGATTGTGGCCACCACGAGCAGTTGGCGATTGTCATCAGGTATATTGATAATGATCGGCCAAAGGAAACACTCGTGGGTGTGAGACGGTTGTTGAAAACAGACGCGACGACCATCTTCAATACTATTGCTGAGGTCCTGACAGCGATGCAGATTTCTTGGGAGGAGGTGTTGGCAGCATATTTTGACGGTGCCAGCCCAATGGCTGACTGCACTGCTGGAGTACAAGCCAAGTGCAAGGACGAAAACAGCAATATACTTTTATGAAGAGCTTTGAGTGTGTTGGTTTATTTTCTTTTGACAGATACGCGTATTTCATCTACTACTTGCAGAATTCATCAGTGCCAAGTACTCAACACCGCTGATGAGGATTGGATTGATCAAGAGCAATATACTGTTTGTTCACTGCTATGCACTGTCTGAACCTTGTACTTGTCGACGCAGTGTGCATACGAAAGGAGAATGCGATTCTTATTAGTCATTCATATCGGTTTGTCGGTGCTATCACCACCATCTGAAGTGACTTCAGCTGAATTCAACCACCAAGGCAACAACATTGTAGCAAATGTATCATTTCGGTTAAAGCCCTACTATTGCAACCATTTGACGAACTGATCATCATCGACATTGTCGATTGGATTAAATTGTCAATTCCATTGGCTGCCTGAAAGCAGTTTCCATTGAAGAAGATGAACCACCACCGGAGTAAAAAATAAATAAAATTAGCTAAATTTAACAGTAGGTAAAACAGTGGTGGGTGGACATCACCATCTCCCACGCACGTTGGAGTACTCCCCATCCCCAGATTAAATGCACCATAGAAAAAACAATTGCCCCTCCTTCACAAGATTCCTGTGCACGCTAGTGGTATATGCACTCAACTTCCATATGCATTTTTAACAGAAATACACCAATTTGAAGTAGACCAGTGTTTGCGCGTTCCAGACTTTAGAAGTAATTTTTATTTTATTCTATTCAATTGGACGAAACCCGAATATACTAAACTTAAATTTATCGAGCTAGCGATTTACTAATTAAAAATTCATGGGGAATAGAAATTTATTGAATTAAGACAAACCTAACAGTTTCCTACTGTGACGTCACGTTTCTAGTTCATGTGTTAGCATAGCCATTCAATATCAAATCAAACTAATGTGAGTAGTCGGACGTCCCGCGACGTTCTAGCAACCGGTGGAAACTAACGATTTTAATTTGGCTCACTACTTGACTAGCCTATTGGTCCCAAGCAAATCGATTAACGTGCCCCATTCTAGTCGAAATTCTAGTACTACACTATGTTTGTTTTGATCCGCTATGAAAGTTTGACAGATAAAATAAGGGGTTCGTGTATTTTCCTATGTCTCGAGGGGTGCATCGGTTAGCTTGGGACCGAAGATAGTACCAGAGCTGAGCCAAAAAGTTGAGCACGTTTCTTCGGGACCTACTAGTCTTAGAGTTACCTCTATGGTTCTAGTACGCAGGGCTGAGAGCGGGTTATTTTTTAGTGACTTTGTCACTTTTTTGAAGGTGGTCACTAAAAAGTCCCTATTTTTGATAAAAAATGTCACTAAAGTCACTTTGTTCGCCATTCCCGCTTGCAATGTAAAATTAAATTCTGAATTATTTGACTGTTGGAAAACGATCATCTTGAAATGGTTGTTTTGCATCTTATCTACAAGGATAATTCCACATCCCCCGCTCAAGCAGTTGACAGCAAACGGCAGGATAACAGACCTTCAGACTGCAGCATAGACCGTCGCAGCCTCACACGCGCGCACTCATCGTCCACCATACCCCCAGAATGGAAAACTGTTTTCCTCGTGATGCGCATGTCCGCATGCCATATCCCATCTTCGGCGTCGTCCCTGTTCGGGCATGCAAGGCGACGACCGAATCGTAGCCGAGGATGGCTCCGGAACCTTGTTCCCGTGTTTCCGAAACTGCCTCGGACCAATTGATTTCGGGCGTTTCACGGTGTCGGAAGTGCGTCTACCCAAGTACACAGCGGTGATTCTAGGCTCTCAGTGCGTCGTTCCGTGGGGAAGTTTTTCTTTTCAGCAGTGTGAGTGTGTCTGTGATTGTCTGGAGGAATTTTCGGCCATTTCACTGTACTTGAAGGGCCAGGTGCGGGAATTTTTAGGCCAAGCGACGAGGGTGCTTAGATATCAAACAGTGGATTCTCGGAATTGTGACGGTTCCTAGAGGATCTTTTCCGGACTCGTAGGTCTGATTCGGGTTTTGTGAAAATTGAAAGCTTCGTGGAATATATCTTATCTTAAAATACCACGAAAAACCCAAAGTGAAAGTGGGGTGAATCCGTGCAAACGTGAAAAATTTAATTCTCAATTTTCAAGTGCTAAGCTTGGTGAAAACACATCCGGATCTAAAGTATCGGCTGGAGGAATAGTTGACAGCTACTGATACCACCAACCACCACCCCTCCATTTACCGTCTACGTCTACGAAGATGAACAAATTGGGCTTTACAGTGAAGGTGCTGCTGGTGTTGGCTCTCGTCGGCACGTTTGCAGCGGATGCCAAGAAGAAGCCGAACAAGTACGGCGATGGCGATTTCGAGTTTGTTGATGAGGTAAGTTTCCCATCTCCGGGGAGGAAAAAGCTTTTTCCCCTCTATCGATGACACTTTGTAATCACAGTTATCGAAAGTTCACCGGGAAATGGCACCTTTCATCGCTCGAAATGCTGATGGATGGATGGATGACTGATTCTTCCGAGAAAATGACGAGACGGCAAACATAGGGTATGTTTTCGATTTCACCTGAGCAAACAACGTAAAGTTCAACGACTGGATAAGAGGATCTCGTAGCGACCGAATCCGTACTACAGCGGTGGCATACAGATTCTGCGTTATGTCACCTTCCCGCACCACCCACACTAGGAGTGTTATTCCTGGCAGGCGAGCGTCGTTCACATTACTTTGCCATATATCTACATCATAAAACAAAAACGAAAAACAAAATCGATTTTCCATCTCTCTGCTCGTTTGCTTCTTACGAAACTCACCTACCGGTAGCATTATGCCTTACTTTTGTAGCAATGTCGTGTGTATAACGACATGAATGGTGCTACCTTTTTCGGCATACACACTTCGGTCGTTGTGTACTTTACTTACCTGTACCTTCCCCTAAGTAGGATGTTGCGCTAGGTGAGTAGGTAGTTGCCCGAGATTATCTTTTTATTGTGATTATAAAAATCTACGAGGGTACTTTGCCAGCCATGGTGGATACATGCATTCCTTGCTTGGTATTACAATCCATTACTTTTGATTACAGACAGGCTGTTCTATTCGGGAAATCTGGAGGTTGTTACATACACTCAGAATGGTCGATTGATTCGGCTTATGAGCTTTTCCATTCATATACCGAGAAATTGCGTCAGAGAAACACTTTTACGGTATCGATTTCAATTAGTTTGTTAGTATAATTTTTGCTATCTCGATATCTGAGTAGTAAAAAGCAAATGTCCAAATGGGCGCTGTGCGTTTTCCGTTTTCTAGTGACGTGTTCCCCAAGCAACACCATTTGTTTCTCAGCGATTAACAACAACCTTAGTGTGACTAACTGAAGGTCTAAATTATGGACAACGTATTGCATATAAAACTTCATTGTACCTTAAAAAGCGCAGAAGGTGGAGTCTCTTTGCAACTTATGCTTGTTGCAAAAGGTGCTGCAAATCAGTTGTATTTATGTAACATTATATTTTGATGACCCAAGATGCAAATGAGGTTTTGACTGACTTAATGTAATGTTTTATTTTATTTATTTTATCGGATATGACAGTCATTGAAAAGATAAGTTTTTATTCCCTTGATTTGTTTTCCGTCGATCTCTTTTTCCGTGATGAGCACCAATGCACAGTGGTTCAGAAAGCAAATTTAGCTGGAAAGATGGATTTTAGGCTTGAAATTGAAACTTTAGCAAAAAGTTGTCTTCAGCAAAGTTGATGCTATCAGTTAGGCGCTTATTTTAGTGTCAAGAGATACTGAAGTGGTCCTTATTATCAATAAAATCAAAAAGCTAACTTTCTTATTTTAAGAGATAGCGGCATGTTTTAAGAAAAAGTTGTAGCTTACCAAATTTCAAATAACTTTGAAAAAAAAAAGTTTTAAAAAGGTTGGAAAATAACCGATTTAGAGCAGTTTTTATATGTTGTCCTAGGGTGTCTCTAAAAAAATCAGTTATTTTACTCTAACTTTCTTATTTTAATTTTTATGACAAAGTCGTAACCTAATAAATTTTAGATTTGTTTAAGACGCACATTTTGACGCTAAAAGACGGAAATATTGAACCTGTGTAGAGTTATTCAAGTTTTTCTATGAAAAATAGGGTTTTTTTTTCAAATAGGTGTATCCCTTGCTGGGGCAAACATAAAAATATCTTTTGATTGCATTTGAAAAGACTTATTTTGTTTTGCTTTGTGAAAAAATAGAGGTATGGTATGTTTTGTTTTGGAGAAATTCAGTTTTTAAAATACCAACTTTTACATATTTTTGTAGAGCATATAGGCCGACACATACGAGAACAAGCTTTTAAATCGTTTTGAATCAAAATTTCATGCACACATCGTCTTTATATTATATTAAAATATGAAGAAAAATCATACTTTATAAATTCATGCCCACGATATTTGTGTATTCTAGGATACATGTTTAATAATACGTTTAAAAATGTCTATGGTAGATCTCTAGCATTGGTTTCCAAGCAATTTTAAAGTCATGAGCAGAGTCAAACTGCATGTTCAACGTAATAAATTGTGACGTATTAAATATCTTCCTTCATCATCAAGAAATAGAGATAAGCTTCATCCCATCCCAAAATCAAGAAAAAGAGATAAGCTTGACGGTCGCAGTTCTAAGTACAAACCAACCGGCATCCTAACTATGAGCATAGTTCTCTCTCCCTATCAGAACTGTCAAAATCCTACGAATCTACGGCGTGCATTAGTGTTCGTAAAATTCTGCTCGGATAGCTTGATTGCCAGAACTGAAAAATCACATACGCAAAAAAAAAAACGTCAAATCGTGACAGCTCCATAGAATGCCAACCGATCGTGGACAGAGCCTACTCCATTTTTCGCATAATGAAGCTGTATTAGTAACCCAAAAAATAACGCATTAGTGCATTAGTGTTAGTGTTTGTGAAATTCTGTCTGGAGAACCCCATAGCAAAAAAGTTAGCTGATGCTCGATTTGTCAAAATAGCTCCAATTGTACCAGCCTTTCCTTTACTGTGGCTACATTTTTTTTATCTCGTTTTAAAGTGCTAAAATGGAAGTTCCGCGAAGTGAAATTGTTGAGTTTTGGATGCTTGGGCGCAGTGATTAAAATTATTATTATTATTATTATTATTATTTAATTTTATTCATCGGACTATTGTCTACATGAAACAACCTTAAAGCTAAAACAATTCAAGTGTTTCTAATCCGTGCCAAAAAGCGAGATGAAGATTCCCCAAATTCGAATAATTCTTCGACAGCCGTAAACGTACGCATCATAGTTGTTAGTGGTTCGTTGTAACCGAACGCCGTTCGATGGTACCGCGGTTGGAGAAGGGTACCACTTCGTAATGTTCTCGGTGGTACTCGGATATCCAACAGCGAGAGAAGCCTCGAGCAGTCGACCTCACCATTCAATAGCTTGGCAACAAAAACTGCTTGTTGATTTTTCCGTCGGCATTCCAGAGTATCAGCAGATTGCAGCGATCAGAATACGGCGGAAGATTTTGCGGATCACGCCATGGTAGATTACGTAATGCTATCCTGATAAACTTGCGCTGAACACTTTCGATCCTCAAGCTCCAAGTCAACTGATGAGGAAACCAGACCAAGGAGGCATTTTCCAGGATTGGTCGCACAAGTGAGCAATAGAGAGCTTTCAGGCAGTATGGGTCAATGAAGTCCTTCGATATTTTCGACACAAAACCTAGCTGGCGATTCGCCTTTGTGATCAGAGCAGAGCGGTGGAGGTTGAACGTCAACTTATGGTCCAGTAGAACACCAAGATCGCTGAACTGGTCGGTTCTTTGATGACATAGTCAAAAATAATCGGCTGTCTGATGCGGTAATACGACATTACCATACATTTAGGAATGCTGAGGGTAAGCTTATTCCGACGACACCAATCAACGAACAGATCCAATACCGATTGAAGACGAATGCAATCCTCAGCAGTCCGCACCACGAAGTACAGCTTTAGGTCATCGGCATACGCAAGCTTACAGCCATCTCCAAGTAGAAGAAGTGCGTCGTTGATGTACAACACAAACAGCAATGGGCCAAGATTGCTACCCTGTGGTACACCTGACGAGTTCGTGAAATACGAGGAAGTACTGGAATCGAGTTTCACTCGCAGAGACCTGTCAGTCAAGTAGGAGCACAACCACGAAGTCAAACGGTCCGACGCACCGAGTTTGGATAGCTTTGCCAACATAATGTCATGGTTGATCGTATCAAACGCTGCTTTTAGATCAGTGTAGATGACGTCTATTTGCTCAAGAATGAAACCACTCACAATTATCTCAAACAGTTTTGATGCTGCAGAGAGATTAGTAATTCCTCTGTAGTTTTTAACGTCACGTTTATCTCCTTTCTTGTGTACCGGAACCATAAATGACTCTTTCCAGATTGCAGGAAATTTCGACTCTAAAAAAGATTTGTTGAAGATTCTGCAAAGCGGTTCAACAAGCGCTCCAATGGTACGACAATACACTGCAGAAGGAATGCCATCTGGTCCAGGCGAGAAGGTACATTTCATTTTCTTGGCGACATTAGTTACCATAACGGGCGTTATTTCAAAAGTGTTTATGTCAACAAGGTTTGAAGGCACATCCGAAACAAGTTCAGTCGAGGTGATGGATTCTGCGGCAAAAATAGACGAAAAATGAGCAGCAAAAAGCTCACATTTCTCCCCGCCTATCGACGATTCAACGTCATTGAAAAAAACGCTTGCAGGCATTGTTGAATTTTTCCTCTTCGAATTTATATAGCTCCAAAAGCTCTTGGGGTTTCGCCTTAAATTAGTTTGCACTCGTAAAACGTACGATTTGTAGAGCGAAGAGTTTAGATTACGGGACTCGTTACACGCCAAGTGAAAACTACGCTTATTTGCCAGGGAACGGTATCGCCGAAGTCTACGTTGCGAAGCATTTCTTTTTCGTTTTAGTTTTCGTAGCAAAGCGGTGCTCCACGCAGGAGAAACAGCAGGCCGACGAATCGGTACGTTTGTATCCATCCAATTATTTAGCACAGCACACAACGTTTCAGCCATTTCATCAGCATTCAGTCCATCGAAAAGAAGATCCCAGTCAGTGACGGAAAGGAAGTCCATTAGAACATCGAAATCAATCTTGCTATAGTCTAACGCAAACTCATCACTCGCATTCAACAGCAGTGCACCGTCATCAACTAGAGATGGTAAGCAGACGACTAGTGGCGGATGATGAAGATCAACTGGCAAGAGTGGTGAAACAGATCTCGAGATTTCCACAGGAAAGTCCGTATGGCAAAAGAACAAATCCAGGATGCGTCCTAAGTGGTTGCGCTCGAGATTTCTATGGTGCAGGTTGTGGAAAT